ACTTAAATAGAACTAGAAAAGCTCTAAATACTTAATAGTATCTTTAATTTTTTATATAAGAATAAATGCACTATTTGTATAATGCACAGTAGTACCAGCATATTATGTCAAAAACACAACAAAATAATAATGCGTAATGTCAAATTGTAGCCTTTATTGTACTGACATTTGTATTTAGATGATAAAAAATTAAACATAGTCCATAATAAACTTTAGTTTAATACCATGCGAAGTATATTTTAATCTTATCTAGACGGACCGATATAAATTCTTCCCTTAGCTTTTTAATGGCTCCCCCACTGAAAGTTTGAAACTTTAAGACTAGAAAAAAAAAAGTTAGAGGTACACACCAAATTTGTACTCCAACATGTATACAAAGTTTGGGTGTGTGTGTAGCACAAGTACACACAGAAAATAATTGATGCATAGATAATTATTGTTTGTGAGTGCCTATAATACCTTTGGTGTGCAAGTTGAGATATAAATTAAACTTAACTTGATGTACTCTTAATATATCTTGTAAAACTAAGTACTCCACCAAGCAGACATACATGGGGACTGCAAAAAAACAATGTATTGATTGTTGATGACAGCAATATTTTTTAGTAGTAATGTTTGCTACTTCTCCAACTGCCAGCTGAGCTGCTTTCAACCTCTCTTACATGTGACTTCAATTCCCCTCATCACTACCATTTACACCTTTATCCCTTTTTTTGGATGATAAAAAAATGATGAAAAAATGGTGAGAAGAAAAAATCATGAATAAATAAAAGAAAAATAATAGTTGTTTGGATCATTAGAAAATGATGAGAAAATATTTATAGAAAAAAGAAAAAAATAAGCTTATTTCTCAATATAATTAGTTTTCTCACTATAGTGGATGAGAAAACTTTTTGATTTCCCTCCTCTATATTTTCCTCTTCCTTCTCCATTTTCTATTTCAATCAAATATTAAAAAAAATATTCTTGGGATCTCTTTTTCCACCCATCCAAATTAAACATCAATGGGTAGGGATGACGAAGTGGATCGGATTTAAATTGGATGAAACTTGAAGTACCATCATCCTTTCATTGACTCTATATCTATCACTTGATTCATTCATAATCCGTTTCAATATCACTCATCACCCGATTCTTCTATCACCTTCGGGTGTAGCGAATAAAACACGTGATATTAATTTCAAATTTCATAGAATTGAAAATAGACTGTATAAAGTACAGAATATCAAATACGCCTTAAAAAATAATTATCCACAATTTTAAAGTTCTAAAACATGATGCAAAACTTAAACACATGATGCAACCTCTCTTGAGAAGAAACGCTAGCACCAAAGCTAAATTGACATTCTTCCACCAACACTTTTTTTCCCTTGTGAAAATTGTTCCTAGACATGAGCCGCCAATTCTTGAACTTTTTGGATTTTTTGTTGGGGTTTTTTTTGCAATTATTATGAATGATTTAATTTGTTTGGCGTAGATTCTTGCCCTCTTCGTCACTTCCCACGCATCCATACTTTTGTCTTTTGGATTTAATTAACTAGTGGCGGTAATTAGTATGGACTAAGGAGTGTGTTTTGGGTTAAGTGTCCATATACACAAACACAAATCCCCCCTTTTTCTTTTTTTATTGATACTGGTCCTGTTTGAAAACAGCGTTAGCGTTTTGGATAAAATTTTAACGGTGCAGATTACTTTGAAAACGCTAACGCTAAACGCTGCCCGTCGATAGCCTTTTCAAATCGCTAACGCTATTCCCAAACAGGCCCACTCTCTTCATGTTTTCAATTTTATATTCACATTTATGACTTTAATTTTTAGAATTTGGAATCAGGTTAGTAGATTCTACTCCTCCGTCCCATAAACTCTTTCTGCTTTCTTTTTTCTATGTCCCACACCGTCCTTCTCCTTTCTATTAAAAACCACTTTTACTTCTACTAATTCTTATCATACCTATCACATTATATCTTTTTACCAATAATCTATCCATTACATCTAACTTTTAACCATCACTTTGAAAAATCAACAAAAAAATCTCTCTTAATTTTCCTAAAAGCCAAAATGGAAAGGATTTTAAGCCATTAAATTTTTATTCATCTAAAACGTTATTCCCAATATCTTTGCGGGTTGAACATCAACCGGGCTGATATTGCGGGCCGAAGCCCAAAGTACTCATACTTCGGATCACCCAATGTGTTATATATGGTGGGCCGGGTTATAACCTTTAATAAGTTTTTTTAGAAGACTCTAGAATATAATCTTCTCCCTCTTTTCGTCTACGTCCCCGTCCGTCCGTCCGTCCGTCCGTCTCTCTCGTGATCTCTCTGCAACTTCAATGGCGTCTGCACTTCTCACCTCTGCGAAACCCTTCATTAACATCCCTTCTCTATCAACCAATCCCAGGCCAGTTGGTATTGTCTTCGAATCCCTAAAATTAGTTTTCAACTGTTCCTTTGTTGGTGCATTATAATTGAAAAATTGTTTTTCTTTGCTGTAATTTGGATGTGATTGGACAGGTCCGAGGAGAAATTCTCTGAGAGTTAATGCCATTTCTACCAAATATGAACCCTCTAAGGTTTTGCTGTTTTTCAAACGTTTTTTTCGTGGAGTTTGTATTTAACTATATACTCGTACATTTTTGGGGGAAATGATGAAGTAAATGGGATTTGGTTGTTTTATGTGCTCACAGGTTGTGCCACAAGCTGATAGAGTGTTGATAAGGTTGGAGGCGTTGCCGGAGGTAAACTTTAAAAGTCCCTTTCCTTTTTTCCCCAGTTTGATTGTGTTGTTTCATTTCTCACTATTGATTAAGCCAAATTTCTTGTTGATTATGCCAAATTTCATACTTGGTGATAGGACACATAGATCTATGTTGTGTTTTCACTGTGGTATTTGAAACATTTCCGGTGGAGCTCTTTATGCTGAGGAACACTATGGAAATAGTTTCCAATGTGATTCATTTTACTCTTCTCGCGGTAGTTTCATTCATAGAGACTATTTAATCTATTCCCAATAAAGTAAAGAGTGTGTTGAACTCCTTTAGTGTCGTATACTCGTATTGTATGTGTTTTCCAATAAAATGATCAATCATTTATCAGTTATTGGAGTATAAGATGAAGTTTTGTTGGTTTGTTACATAATTGTTGTTGTTTGCTTATCTATTTTGCTTAGCATAAACCATACACAACAAATTGATTCTTGAACTTGTTCAACTTAAGCACGTCTATGTATGAACGATAACTTGATCAATAACCTGTTGTCTATTGGACCATTCTTTCTATCTTTGAAGCTATGTGATAAAGTTATGTGTTGGAAATGTGTTTACCGTTTGTTTACAAATGAATAAATGAATCATCAATAGGCTTCTCGTGCAGAAATCTGCCGGAGGTGTTTTGCTCCCTAAATCCGCTGTGAAGTTTGAGAGGTACCTTATGGGAGAGGTGAGTAGAAGACTTATATCACAATTTTCTTCTTTTCTTTTTTTTGAAGCAGTATAGAGTTGGGTTTTACTCCCTCCGTCCCAAATTATAATGCATGTTCACTGTTTACAAGGTCAAACTTCATTCACTTTCTTTCTCAATTTTTGTTAGCAATTTGATAAAATAAAGTACTATTGTCATTACTAGTTTTGTAGATCTTTTGTAGTATTTTAATATGTAATTTTTATTTTTTAACTATATACCATTTGTCATATAAAATGATTTGAAAATAATTTCAGTCAAACATCGTAAACCGAAACAGGCGTTATAAAATGGGATGGAGGGAGTACTATGAAACAATCTCTATATTCCTTGGGGTTGAGTTAAGGTCTGCCTACAAATTGTCTCCTCCATACCATACTCTAGAGTGGTGTGTGTGTGTGTCAGTGTGTGTATTGCATTTGTTAAGGTTTGGTTTGACTTTATGGTTGATCAAAAAGAGAGGAATGATATTCTTTGGTGTAGGTTCTCTCAGTTGGAACCGATGTTCGTTCCGAAGTTGAGGCGGGGAAAAAGGTATGGTTTATAACCCACACTCCCTATGTTTCATGGATTTTTCAAATAAGTATTGCTTCCCATCCCCGTTTGGGTACTTAAAGACCCTCCCGCACACCCAAATCCTTTTCCGTCTTGAAAATCATCTTTTCATTATATTTTTTTGTGGAAATTTTAAACCATTAAAAACCATTATTTTTTCTGTGGGAAATTTTAAACCATCTTATAGTCATTGCCCCAATAAATAACACTTTTCATTTCATCAATCTCCTCTTATAATGTGTGCCATTTTCACATAGAAAGATCAATTTGGAACGAATTGAGAAATTACTAACCTTAAAGGCCGAAGAGTGATAGACTTATGTATGCATCTTTATCTAATGGGAATTACCTTGTATCTTGCAAGCAGGTTCTTTTCTCTGATGTGAATGCATATGAGGTATATGTTATTTTATGAAGGAAATTAAACTCCATTTGCCATGGCAACATATACAAATGAAACTCACAATTGTGCCAATTGTGTGTGACAGGTGAACTTGGGAACTGATGATGATAAGAAGCATGTGTTCTGCAAAGCAGGCGACCTGTTGGCAGTGGTCGAATAGGTTCTGGCACTCGCGCAACAGCTCTAGCATCTTAATGAAACTTTGTGTGTCTGTATCTCTAAGTTTTGCATGTTTTTGGTCAAAACTTCATGTATTAAAAGAGTATTGAATATCACATTCTATGAAGCATATCTCAGTAATTTATGCCCTGCAAAGAGCGCCGTTTTTATTCGAGTTATGGCATATTATCTCACAGGTAACAAAGACAATGGCCCTATTTGTGAGACATGGTGATCTCAATATTGATGTTAAAAAAAATACTCCACTTTATTTTAGATTTGGTTATAACATGAATTGAATGAACCTTTGGGAGAAAAACCCAATCCCATTCAAATATAATGTGGCTCCCCCTCCCATTACATTCCGTATTTCCATGCACATTTCCTCAAACCCCAAACATGCCCTTAATAAGGTAACAGAGCGAAATATGTTTAAAGATTCATTCATTCACTCATTCATATTAAAGCAAGCCATGTGCAAGTCACTGGCAATACTAGAGATTTGTGTACATGAAATAACACAACCCAAAGTAACCTTGGGAAAAATGGGTTGTCACTAAAATACAATTGGATTTCAAAACTCGAAAACCCGCAATTCGACCATGGCCTCTTTCCTCCTGGGAGAATACCACGCCACCACTTTCCCTGAATTCAGTACTCTAAGCGAGTAGTTCACACTAAGCACATAATCTTCCAATCTTGGAGAAGGTATAATGCAAAACCTAGAATCCACTCGGAACACAATTGGTCCAGCAACCTGCATTTTTAGTATTGAAGGAATGAAAAGTGAATAACTTGTTGAAAATAGTTTCTTTGGAAAATATGTTCTTGAAAAAAGTCTTTCCAAGTAGGGTATTAACAAATAATACAGAGTATGCCTTTTTTCTTAAGCAAATTATCAATTTCATAGGAGCAAGGTCTGCGTATACACATTGTCTCCAAGGGAATTTACTGGGTTTATTAAAAGGCAGGGTTTGAAAGATAGGTTTTTTACCTGCTGCTGTAAGATAAGATTAAGCCTGGGGGAAGACAACATATCCCTTGCACAATTATCATTGTTAGCACTCCTGAAAAGTTTTGAAACCCCTTTGGCTAATGTTGCTGCTGAAGGGATGTCCAAGCGAGCGTCTACTCTGCTGAGGTCGTTAAACAACTTTCTAAATTTTCCATGCTGGAAAGTGTAGGAGGCAGAGCCAAACAAGTCAGCACTGAAGGTGCTCCTTCCTAAATGAGTGTTATTTCTGCCGCCAACCCATGTAGCGCAGTTTCCACCTATAATGAATGGTTAAATTTAATCCCCAGGGGAAAAAAAGAAGCAAACAAATGGGCATTGATGCTAAATTTGGAACTAAGAAAATGGTAGGGGAATGAAATAAAGCTCCAGGTAAATGGTTTTTAATGTTGGGTTTTACCATGGAATATAGAAAATACAAAGAAAAAGCAAGTTAGTTAGATAAAAATCCTTCAAGATTTTACCCACATTTAGGTTTATTAGTCTAAACATGATAGAGATATATGAGTAAAATGAGTTCATGCAAAAATATTAATTTGATTTATTTACTCCGAAGTCCGAACAAAAAATCCCCTAAAATCCTAAATGTTCTTTCCTAGAAAAGTGTCCCCCTATTTTCTTCTTATTTTCTTTCCCTCCGATATCATTGGAGCTATTGCACAAACGGAAGCTTACCAATAATTCCAGATAGTGTTGCATGAGGCTCCTTAAGACGAACATCATAAGCAGGCCTGAAATATACTTTCTCATCTCTCGCTATAAACAAATCCATATCTTTCTCTTTATCTCTCCATATATCCTTTTGCTTCTCATAAGAAAATGCAGCTTTTGCACAAACCCCTGGCATCAGGGCAGGAGATGGAGAATCATTGGTGTTATCAACCGGAATGGGTTGACCATTGTTTTTGTGTATACCGAACCGATACCGCAATCCGGATAATGAAATGAGTGAGGAGCAGTCCAACGATATTGACTCTGGAACGTCCCAATATCTGCCTTTGTGATCTATGAATCGCTCAGGCCATGCAGCTTCCAATGTAATATCATGTTCAGGCAGCTGCAGGGAAGTAAAGAGAAATTACTTGTGATGCCCTTGAATGGAGTGTAAAAAATAGGTGCAAGTATCAAGGCAGTAAATGTAATAATGATGTGATTTTACAAGTTGCACACATCAAACAAAAATGACAGCCATGACTAACTCATGTTTAGCATGAGTGTTATGTTCTTAAATGAATATGTTTAAAAAGAGATATTTCCCCATTGATGGGCTTGGGTGCTTGACTTCTAGCGATGTTGAAGGTGCTGCCTTTGCCTAAGTTGGCTAAGTAGTAAGATAATGGTGTTCACTTTAAGTGGTTGTCCTCCTTTGGATATAATAATAATAATAATAATAATAATAATAATAATAATAATAATAATAATAAGAGTATATTCCATAAATGATCCCTAATTATAGTTGATTTTCCATGATTAGTCTCTAATTCTAAGATATTACATAAATGGACCTCAATTGTTGAAAACCATTCCATAAAAAATTCCTTACAGCAAAATATGACAAAATATTTTTTCTACATATAGTTCCTGAAGAACCAATTATGGAATAATTTTCAAAAAATTGAGGACCATTTATGTAATATCTTAGAATTGAGGACTAAATATAAAAAATCATATGTAATTAGGGATCATTTATAGAATTTACTATAATAATAATTACAATCCGTAATTTACAATTGCGCTTCTGTGCTTAGGCCGTGGATCTCTTAGAAACAAACTTTCTACTTCTAAGTAGATGTAAAGTCTGCGTACATACATTCTCCCCAAACCCTACTATTGTCGGATTTTACAGGGTTTTTTGTTATTGTTGTTGTTTTACAAGTGTGTGTGTGTGTGTGCGCGCACACACTTATATTCTTATTATGCATGCCCATATTTCCTTAGCTTTAAATTTTCTATTTTTGTATAATACGAAGTATGTCGTTATAATACCCCATTTTCAGATCCCATGTTGCATAGGTGAAATGTGTGACCTTGGTAAAAGTTCATATAAAGATTTTCCACTATTCTTTATTTGGTGTTTCAATGTTTTTTACATTATTGTACCAGCAATTATACTATTATATATCATTATATAGAGTTGAAAGATACTGCATACGATTCTTGCCTTATGCGCGAAGATTGCCTTCATGCGTTGCCCCTCCTTTTCACCCGACCCCTCCGTGCTTAATAATATGGAAGATGATTTTGTAAGGGCGAGTTGTGAGCACACACCGAGCGAATAAAATGATTTGTCTAAAAAACACTTGGGCAGATCTTTGAATGTTGACAGTTCTAAATCCTCCCACTCGATCGTGGGACCTATTTCTTCTTTGATGACATCTATTTCTGCTTTGAGTTTAGAAATCAGCTTTTTTGGTCGAATTTGTCCCACTAATCCAACCCACCTGGAGAACACAAAGTGTTAACCATCATCAGGGATTATTATTTGGCATCAAATGAGCTAAAAAAATAACAATAGAAAAATAACTCTCTGCGCACCACTATACTCTTACGTTTTGGTTTGTCCCAAATTTTTTGTGACATATCATATTTGATATGACTAATGTAGCTCAAATCAGTTTGCTGTTTCGGAATTCAAAATCGATGCATCCTAGATCCAGGGCAGTCTTGGAACAAGCAATGGAATAGATGTGATAAGATTGGCATTGATACATTTAGCATTAGTCCTTAGTCCTTACCTTCGAAGAGGGGGCATTCATATATTTCCTTTGCACATTCAGATTCCTTCCTAGGCCGGTGAGTCTCGCTCCTCCTTGGGCTGGGCCTCAAAGTCTTAATTTTGATAGGTTCCGTCATCCGGCCCAATATACCCATCAAATTAGAACCACACAATTTCACTTTTCTTTTCTTAGTTTGAGTTTAACTTTCTAATGCCCCAAATTTAGTGGGACAAAAGGAGTAAACTTATGTAACCCTAGAATTCTAACCATGACTGTGGCTGAAAAAGTGAACAATCCTGAACATAAAACAAGAAATATTTCCTGCAAAATTTAAGTTCTGCCTTAAACACTTAACTGAAAGAGGACTAAATACCTAAAATTTCAACTAAGTTCCCCATGAACAAAGCAATGCACTAAACCAATTGCATTTATCATATAGTGTTGACTGCTGAAAAAAGGACTAGACTCAATACCTAAGTATTTCAATTACCTAAAATTCAAGTTACCCAATTCCATAATTGGCAATCTTCAATTTTGAAATAAGAACAGAACTCCAAAATTTGGATGGGAGTTAAGAGAAAAAAAGTACCATTTGGAAGTGGCAGCTCGGAGAAAGAGAGACTGGAGAGCAAAAGAGCCCAATTCCCTTTTAGACGGAGGAGAGAAAGACGGGACGAGACCAAGAGGGAACCCATTCCCGATGAGGGAGAGCTGCTGTATTCGGAGAGCTTGAGTGGCTCTACCGCCGTTCATCGGCATTGGCTCGCCGGGAATGGCCCGGGCCGTGCCGTCTAGGGTTCGAGAAGTGGAGACGTTCAGATCCCAGAACGCCGCGTCGACCGCCGTCCGAAGTTTAGCCATTTCGCCGACGAGCCGGCCGGTGTGTGGATGAGTTACAAGTGAAATGAAACGGGCCTCAAAAAAGAATTTTAGAGAAGAAAAGAAGAAGAAAGGGTTTTGGACAAGGGCGAGGGTTTTCAGTTTTGCCCAACACATGGAGCCCACAATTTATTTACCATTACTCCGTATTTTATTGTATTTTCTTTGGTCTCAAAATAAATGTTTCAAAGAATATGTAAAATTACATGTTGAGATTATTTTGGTACTTTGGTTTCGGATTTTAGCTCTATTTATTTTGTTCGTAGAGATGTAAATGTTATTACTCATACGGTTAAGTATGCCAAAATCCAACATGTTGTGTTCTATCTGGATTTGTGATTCCATTCTTGATGCTTTACACTATGTTTGGTTCAAGGAATTTGAGAGGGAAAGAAAAAGAAAATGAGAAGGAAAACTTTTTTTCTTGTTTGGTTAGAGAAGAAAAGAAAAGAAAAGTGGAAGGAAAAGAAAATGAGAAAGCAAAATGTATTAAGAGGATGGAAAACCAAATTCCTTCCATTTTGGTGAGGAAACTAAGGGAAAACCATTTTCTTTTCTTTTCCTTCCACATTCCATGAACCAAACATAGTATTAATGAATTTCGTTTTATCAAAAGAATGTAAAATTATACTAGTATCTCTTTTAAAATAATTCCATTTAAAAATTAGTATAGAAAAAAATTACCCTGAGATATAATTATATATTTTAAAACTATATCAAAGGTTTTATAAAATGATCAATGAAAATGCATAAATAAATAAAAATTATCATGATTTCATAGAGGTAATTGAAACAATTATTTTGGAATAGAGCGGGTAAAAAACTGAAGCCCAAAAAATAAATTTAATTCAATTTAGACAGCTCAAGTTAAAATCATAGTTTTAAAAACAGGACTGGCTCCTGGTCCGTTAAGGCACTAGTTCACTGGTCGAACCAATGATTCGAGTAGTTGGATATAGGGGCTGGTTTTAGTGAAAGTCGTGCATCCGACGACTCCTCATTTAAAGAATTTGGAGATTGACATGCCTATTTTATGGAATTTGGAGATTGACATATCCCCTCCCCTATATATAGAGCTTGTATTTGTACTCTTCAATTGAGAATCTGTAATCTGGTGAGAAAGTACCGATCAATAAAATCTTTTCTCTTATGTCCGTGGAGGTTACTAACAAGTTGTCACTAAACCACGTTAAATCTATGTCTTTTTTCGTGATGGTAGACTATTAGTGTTCATACTTTCTCGCATATCAGAGCTTAGTCTGGAACCGTGCGGAAGGAGATCTGTGGAAAGATTCGTGCGGCTGAGAAATTGTCTCTTCGTGCAGCTGAACAATTAGGTCATCGTGCGGCTGAGGAATTGGGTTGTTGAATCAGCTTGAGGAAGATTGCGGAGTACGGGCGTGTGGAGATCACCGTCAGCCGCTCATTCGAGGTGAGGTCACACAACAGATCCGGATAAGCAGCCGCGCAAGAGAGAACAGATTTAGTTGCCGCCACTTGGAGATATTTCCGCCGGCGAGTTCGGCCCCGCTGTGTTTATCAAGCTTCATCCGCCGATCAGATTTTGGAGCTCCTAATTGCAGATTGACAAGTTCAATGTGAGAAATAGTTTTGGCTTTTGCCAGATCAAGACATGATCATTGCTGAAGCAGGAGTGGTAGTGGGCGTCGTGGACTGAAAAAGCGAATAAGGCAGACAAGAAGGATGAAGAGATGAAAACACTAGAAAAAAGCCCACTTGACACTCATGTTTTTTTTTTGAAAGCTGACACTCATGTTGTTCATGTGTGACGATGTCATCATCGGAGTCGCTGATCAGGAGACCGCTGCTGCCCTCTAGATGAAGTTAGAGAGTTTATACATGACAAAGTCTCTAACCAATAATTTGCTCTTGAAGCAACGTGTGTTTCGACTACGCATGCAGGAAGGTACACCCCTTCGGGATCATCTGAAAAAGTTGAGTAAAATTTTGCTAGATCTTCGCATCATTGACGTTAAAGTAGATGTTGAGGATGCTGCTTTAATTCTGTTAGTTTCTTTTCCCGAGTCGTATGAAAATTTTGTTGAATCTTTTATGGCCGGTAAATAAACTTTGTCCCTGGAAGATGTTCGATCTGCTCTCCACATGAGAGAAGATCGTCAACAAGCAACTAATCCAGGAATAGAAAATCGGGTATTAGGACTATCCGTTACGGGTAAGGGACAGAAGACCTTTGGAAAGAAGAAGCCAAACTCTAAAGGAAAGGTCCTAAGCCAGGTGACATCTGCAACTACTGTAAAGAACTAGGGCATTGGAAGTTTGATTGTCATTAGAAGAAGATGAAGAAAAAGGACAAGATCAAGGATGCACACGGTTCTGCAACTATGGCAGAAGATGATGATACAAAGCCTGAAGAAGATCTGGTGTTGGTTGCAGATGATCAACCATATATGAGTATGAAACGAAAATATAATAATATATATCAATATATTCATTTAAATAAATAAAAAATAGTTAAGTGAACTGGAATGTAAAGTCGGGTATTAATAAAAATATATACTTTTATTATATATGAATATTATTTTATTATTCAAGGAAATTATTCATATAGAAATGAATATTTCCTATTATAAGGAAAATATTTTATTATTCATATGGAAATTTTCTACTATATATGCATATTGTTTTATATGGACACTATAGAGATTTGTATATATATTATGCGTATAATATATAGAAATTTTGTGTACGTATAACATATGGAAATGCAATTAATAATAATAATAATAATAACTTTAAAATTAATATAAATTTTGGTTTAAATTTCATATAAACATAAAAAGCGTTAACGAGAGGAAAATATAAGGTGTGGTAATAATAATAATAATAATAATAATAATAATAATAATAATAATAATAGTTTTATTATATATTGAAAATTTATTCTACATAAAGTTTAACTATATTTAGGTACATAAACATGATTTATTATTATTATTATTTATTATTATTGACATATAATATGTAAGAATATATTTACTATACATAAAATTTATCATATATAAAATTTTACTATATTTAGAGACATAAACACAGTCAATTATCATTATTATTATTATTTATTATTATAATTGACATACAATATGTATTAGTATATTGACCATAAATAAAATTTACGATACATAAAAATCAGATCATTGCGTTACACGGTCAATGTTTTAAAATCTTAAATTAAAATTTAAAATATTAATTTTATGGATATATTTTTATGTGTGTGTTAGACCAGTTTATTATTATTTATGGAAATTATTATATATGGAAATTGTTATATATGCACATTAAATTTATGGAAATTTATTTATTACGGAGTATTAAATTTTTGGAAATTTGGTGTGTGTTTGGCCATCTTACTATTTATGAAAAGAGCAATGTTGGATCCACAAACAAAATAGTTACAAAATTCATAAGCTGAGCATTTATGGTTTAGAGTCTCGTTTTAAAATTATTTTACACTATTTTATTTTTTTTTATAGAAATTCACAAATAGTAAATTTGTGAATTTTGTAATGATTTTGTACGTGAACCAAACATTTTTTCTTATGAAAATCAGTCTATTATTAAACCGATCAAACATTATAGAGATTAAAATTTATATTCTATTAAATGATCTATTTCTATTCTTCAACAATGACACTAATAATATGATTTCATAATGTAAATACAAACCGTGGCACTGATTGTGATACTAGTATTAACACATGAGGGAGAATATATAAAAATGAGATTTCTAATAGAGTACAAATTTTGATTAATATTTTGGTCTTATCTGTGAGTCTGTGACAGAGTATTCTCCTCTTTTATTCTCCTCCACCCAGTTTGATCGGTGATTCGTTTCCCTCTGCAAGTGAAACTCTTTCTCCTGTCTCCTTTACGCCCTCTTTTCTTCTTCGCACGTTCACCGAAGGAGTCTAATAGCCGACACACCGCGCCGCTCTGATAATCCAGGTGATCATTTTTCTTTTTTCGAGAAAAAGTGCATTAATTTCAACCGATTTGGCTGCGATTTTACGATGATGTAGTTCACTGTATGTTCATGTCTGGCATGTGTTCGATAGAATTCCTCAAAAACTAGGTTGTGGGTATGTTGGCTGGTGGGGAGTACGGAATAGTTCTGTTACAGTATATTATACTCAGGTATGCTGCTGCTAGGTTCTATTGACACTGGAGTCGGGATGACACCAAACCGGATGTCCCCGTGACACAAAAGTTTGTACCCCAACTTTTACACCAACTATATCAGACCGCACAAACGATTGTCGGTGTGTGATTCACTTGGTGTGTAAGCTGGGGTACAAATTTGGTGTACCCTAGCACACCTCTTTTGTTCTTGATCACATCACTTGGTTAACTCTAGTTCTTGGAAAAATACCTTTGCTTTCCTAGTTTTTCTTGTGCTATTTCACTTCTACACTTCTACCTATACTATCTGCCTTTGTTTTCCTACTGTTTCTTGTTCATGTGATAGATAGGTCTCAGTAATACTAGGGGGTTTTCCTCTTCACAAATCCCCTTCATTACCACGTGCTTGTCACATTACTATTTTGCATCTTCATAGCTTAACTATAACACGAAATCTCCAATATCTTGGTGTGAAACCTACATATAGTTATATGCCTTGGAACATTCCAAGTGTCAAAACAAGCATGTAAACCCTTTGTTTTAAGTTCTTTTCTTGAATTTTCTTTGTGTTTTTTTGCGTCATTTGCCCCCAAATTCTTCAAAAATTGCACGGATTGACATTGAAATTCTTCAAAAAGTTTTGCTCCTTTGGTGATATGCTTTGATGACATTGAAATATTGTTGCATTCTCACTGCTAAAGTCTTGATAATCCACTTGGTTAACTCTAACCATCCGGTGGAATTACTTTCATCACATCACTTGGTTAACTATAACGGCAATACTCTTGATGATATTCTTGATAAATTTGCACATTAAAGATTACTAGGTTACACTTAAATTCCAATTTCACATTTAGTTTCTCTTATCATTTGCAGTGGACAGTAAGTTCTTCTCTCTTCACTCATTTTAGCTATTTCAATCTTGGGCCGCTGTTTTCACTTCTTCGGAGGACGGATTACATCCCTTCATGGCAGGTCTCTCTTCTCTCTTCCTTATACATGTGTGTTTTACACTTTCACTATTTGCATGTGCGTTCTGTTTTATGGCTTCTGGTTAAGAAATTTAATGGGGTTCATTCTCCCTTCCCCCATTCTTTCGCAATCTCTATTGCATAGGTGGCTTATTGATTGAATTGCTTTGAAGGATTTAGTCAAGCAAAGAATTCTTTTATGATCTTCTAAATCCTTTACCATTTGTATTTTCTTACAACAGAAAATGATGCTTCAAACGAACAGAATTCGCTTATGAAGCCCAAAAGCGTGCAGTTCTGGCTGCTGCTATCTCTGAATGTGGTGTTCCTTCTTGTTGGTCAAGCTGCTGCTATCATTCTTGGTAGAATATACTATGACAAAGGGGGTAATAGTACCTGGTTGGCCACCATTATTCAGACAGCTGGTTTTCCTATTCTCTTAATCCCTTATTTTCTCATTCCTTCTCCCAAAGAACACTCATCTGATTCATCAAATCGCCCTCCACCTCCACCTTCCCCTTTCAAAGTTGTTATAATCTACCTTTTGCTGGGTATCCTCATTGCTGGGGACAACATGCTATATTCCATTTCACTTTTGTACCTCTCTGCCTCGACTTATTCCCTCATTTGTGCAACACAACTAGTCTTCAATGCCATTTTTTCTTTCTTCATCAATGGCCAAAAGTTCACAGCGCTCATCATAAACTCCGTGACTGTCCTTTCATTAGCTGCTTCTCTTCTTTCCATTGATGAGGACTCAGACAAACCTGCTGGCGTCACCAGGGGGAAATATTTGTTTGGAATCATAGCTGCCATTGTAGCCTCTGCATTGTACTCCCTCACACTCTCCTTGATGCAGCTCTCATTTCAGAGAGTGATAAAGAAAGAAACATTCTCCGTGGTTCTTGAGATGCAAATATACACATCACTCGTGGCCACACTTTTCTCGGTCATCGGTCTGTTTGTGAGTGGACAGTGGAGGACTTTGTCCAGAGAAATGCACAGTTTCACTTCAGGAAGAGCCGCGTATGTTCAGGTTTTGGTGTGGACAGGTGTGGGGTGGCAGGTGTGTGCGGTGGGAGTTGTGGGTCTGATTTTTGTGGTCTCCTCACTCTTCTCCAACGTTATCAGCACTCTCTCTTTGGCAGTTACTCCAATTGCTTCGGTCGTCATCTTGCACGACAAGATGAAGGGCATCAAGATCATTGCTTTGTTGTTGTCAATATTGGGATTCTCAGATTACCTGTATCAGAATCACCTGGATGATCTCAAAGCAAGGAAATCAGCACATATTGGCTGTTCAGGTAATAATAATCATCCTAATGATTCTTGCTGTTAATAATCTCTGGAGATAATTTAAAATAAGGGGTCTTCAAGGACAATGCCATAAACAAGAAGCTAGCAAGTGTGTCTAAGATCATTCATACTTAGATTTGGGATTTATTGAAGTAGAATGAGGATAGTGAAATTATTCTCATCAATTTTATTCTTTTGTTTGACTCTAGAAGTGTATTTACAATCCAATTTTTGAAGAATAATTTAGCTTATGAGGTTTTTTTGCTCATTTTATAGCCAAATTACTAAATTACCAATGGAGCTAAAAGGAGTCCATTATTATTGATATTATTTTAGCTTAGGTTAAAATGACACATGAAACTCTTTTGCATCTTACTTCCAATAAACTCATTTAAATATATGAGTACTCCTAAATGCAGTAGATATATTTTACTCCAGAAGAGTTTTTTTTTAAATAAAATATATCTATGTATAAATATAAATATTAATGATCAAAGTATAACATTAGAGACCGTGAAAAGTCAATGGGAAAAACATTTCTGGACGGAGGGAGTATAATTGAAATACTCGGATTTATATTTTTCACATGATGGTGTGAAGTGGATAATACTTAAATTACCACCGTCTATGAAATTGTGGGTGCTCCTCTTTAAATCGAAGTAGTTGCTTCTCGAACTTAAATTACTTTTTTCCATGGAGCAGATGAATCTGAAGGGTGAGTTCTAGATCTTGAAGCCCAAATAGCTATCCTCATCTCAGAGTCTGAGTTAATTTTATTTTCTGTTCATGGTATCCAAACAACAATAAAAAAGAAAATGACTTTTGTAAAATGCCTCATTCTCTAGAATTCATTTTCCAAAAATCCTTTTACACATTTTCCCTCTTTTTAAACCTACCTTAGTTTAATTTAAAAATAATTGGACAATGAGTGATAATTTGTAGTTAATAAGTATGACACTGCTTGAAATCATTTTCATATCACAAATGTTTAGAATAATACTCCCTCCGTCCTAGAGTATTTGTACACTTTCATTTTTACACACCATCTAATACACTTCTTTAATTCATTTTATCTTGTAATTTGTATATTAAAAAATAATAGAAATTATATATTAATAATCTATATGTTAAGACAAACTAAACAAGATCACACATGACTATATTTAGGCTTACACATTGTGAGAATTTGATGAGTCAAAGTGCTTAGATGAACAGTTCCAAAAGTCAAAACTGGACGAATATAGCGGGACGGAGGTAGTATGTAAGTATTATATTTGCAATACTCCCTCCGTCTACAAATAAACTTTACGTTCACTATTCACAGAGTCAAACTTTATTCACTTTGTTAGCCTATTTTCGTCACTCATTTGATAAAATAATATAGTCATGTCACCTCTACCTAGTTTTGTAGATCTTTTGATATAGTTTTTTAATATGTAATTTTTTTTCAATTCTACACCATTTTTTATATAAAATGATTTGAAAATAACTTCAGTCAAACATCGTAACGCGTAATGTAAAGTTTATTTGTGGACGGAGAGTATGTTATAAGGCGGTTTGAGTTTGGATCCAAAAGAATACTTCGTGTGTCACAACCCCAATTAAGTGGATTGAGTCTGGATGGGTTTGTACTTGCAACTAGAAATCTAAGTTCTTGGTTGGATTGGCTCTTTAATGTTGTTCATGATATCTTGAGTTCAAATACTACCACTCAATTTAAAAAAAAATAATATTTATGTTCAAGATTCGAGTAAAAACAAATAATGTCTCCACGTGACGGGATCTCTTACATCATATAAAAAAATTATCAAATTAACTACTCCGTGCAAATTCTCAGAGTAAGTCATTTGTAAATATTCATAAAGAGTAAAGAATAATTTTGTAAATGATTTAATAAAAACTGGGAAACATAATTAAAAAAACCAAAAAACATAATATCCAACAAGACCTGTTTTATATACTTTCAATTAAAAAATATCATAGCTAAAGAAAATGATCGGGGTAACGATGAATCAACATGTAAACAACAAACTTAATTAGGCATTGTTTGGCAATAACTTTTCAATCACTATATGATGTTTGGGATAAATTTTTAATGTTGCAAATTAATTTTAAAAATGCTAAATTTAAATGTTGTCATTAGATTGTATTTTAAAACATTAAAATTAAACACTAAAGTTGTTTCGAAACACACCCTACTACATTGGGAATAAGTTAGAGCATTTATACCTCTTTTCTATTCTCTCTCTAACAAACCCTTTATTATTTTTCTCTTTTTTATTTGATAAAATAAAATATTTTTTTCATCTATTGTTTTTTTAATATTTTTTTGTATTTTTCAAATTAAAATATGTAACATGTACTTTTTATTTATAAAAAGAACCGTAAAGAATATAATTTTAAAAGTTAAAGGACATTGCACGCTTTTACAGTTAGTTCCTTGACATGATACCAAGACCTTGATGACCATGAAATTACGAGTTCAAATCCCATTGTCACATAGTTTTAAAAAATTAAGGAGCCTTGTCCACGAAGAGGTCATGACGAGTTTGAACTTCACTGTTGCCCAACTTTGTAAAATTTATTTTTCACTTGCAAGGCTCGGGTTAAAACAGATCTCGCCTGCATGTAAGGGGCGTGCTGAAGTATAAAAATCTTTCTTAAACCTACAATCACAAGCTCAATCTTTTGGCTGAACTGGTTTCTTAACGCACATCATTCGAATAGTATAAATCATTTAGAGATGGAAGGATTATATACATTATCAGATCAAATGTACAATAGCTAATATAATGAGAAAGAGGGGAAAATATAATTGTTAAAAAATGGATCATGCATGCATTTAAAATGATGCATGAATTGAATGAATAAATACATATTCACATGCATCTTAGCTAGCTAGTAGCTCATAGGAAACCTCCAAACACAAAGTATATCCCATGCCTCCGCCCTCACCACTTTTGCCTTGGATTCCAAATTCAAGAAAGAAATATGAGATAAACACTTTTTTGGCAAACATTAGTTTTTGTGTCTATTTATGCATGGTATGAATGAATTCATATATAATACGTACGTACCAAGAAGCCTAACCCATGCTAGCTGGTCACAGAGGAAAATGGAACCGGCACGACACATGCATGCATGTTGTGACTTGTGAGTTGGGTTCAATATGAAACCCTTTTTTAGTATGGTGTGCCCACTTTATAGTCTCATATCATGTACCCAATTAATTACTACTCCCTCCGTTTGTAAAAAAGGTTCCTACTTTGACTTGGAGCCAAAATAAGGAAGTGTAAAATTATAGTTGACTTCCAATTTTGCCCCTGATGTGATGGGTAAAAGTAAGATGTGATGGATAGATTATTAGAGAAAAAGTATGATGTGATAGGTAGGGTATGAAAAAGTAAGGGTAAAAGTGGTTTTTTAATGTAAAGAGGAAGTGTTTTGTTGGAAGTGAAAAAAATGAAAGAGGAAGTGTTTTAAAAAACGGAGGGAGTAGCAATTTTTTTACCTTTTTGTTTTATAGTATGTATTTGATTTATACTTCCAAAATATATTAGAACATTTGTATAATTAGTCATTATCTAACACTTGTTGTTAATAATAAGGGCATATATGACAGATCAAATGGAATTATGTGCCATAAAAGAAATAAAACATACTTAGTCCTATTCAAGAAAACATACTACCTTTTAATCTTACATGGAGCAAATTTTTCATGATTCTTTTATTTGTGGACGACAGAGACAACATACATATACATTTAATTTCAAGGGGTAGGACGATGGGTTGAGTCGGGCCGATGTGAGGTTAGGAGAGTAAAAACAATCATTTTTTCATACGGAACACTTTAGAGGTTTCAATTAGACGAGTAGTGTCATATGACACCCAAAATGAGTGTCAATGTAACCTTTTTGTTTTTACTCCCTCCGTCGCATAAAGATGGGTACGTTTTGACTAAAGTAGAAATTAAGGGAGGGATAATTTTGTGTTGACTTTCCAAAAATACCCTTGATGTGATGGATAAAAGTATGATGTGATGCGTAGATTATTAGGAAAAAGGTATGATGTGATAGGTAGGGTTTGAAAAAGTAAGGGGTAAAAGTGGTTTTTTAATAGAAATGAGTAAGGGATTGTGGGACGCAATTTTTTTGAAACCTGTAAATCTTTTTGAGACGGAGGGAGTATTTTCTAATCGAGTCAATAGATTTAAAAAAAATACCTCCGTACTCTAATATAAATCAAATTATTCTTTTAATTCTGTCATAGTCGTATTATACCAATTTGTAAATAAAATTGTTTTAAGAGAGATGAGATGTCGCATGTTCTTTCAAATATAATGGGGAAAAAATTAGGACGAGGGAGTGTATGTTCTACTTTGGATATTATTATTATTATTATTATGTAACGCCCTAGCCTCCTCGATCAAGTTGAAATTAGCATACTGGAGTATAATGATGAAATATCCAATTGGGGAATAAGATCTCCAAACATGACTTTCCCGAAGCTTTAATTTGGTACTTTGCATGTTGGTGCAAAGTAAGAACATGTTTGGTGCAAATAATACCACGTAGTACGGTAGCTCATCACGAATAAAATGACAATCAATGTTAATAGGATTAGTGTGACATTTCAAGAGAAAGAAGTCATTCCAACAATTTTAGCTCACAATTAAGTAATGGCGACCAACACTTGATATTGAGCGTCAGCTGATGAGCTACCACAATAGTTTGTTTCTTCGACTTCCAAGAAACTGGAGAGTCCCAATATGCAGAAACAACACCTCCGTCACGGATCTCCGAGTGAGCGAGCAAGAAATTAAAGCTCAATGCGAATTATCACACCAACCGATCTGATAAGTTATCGGTTCAAGAAAGAAGAATACCACATACATCTAGAACAACTTTTTAATTAAGTACTATATCGCACCACATCTAAGGCCGAATCATTAAAATTTTACTTTTTTTATGTCTTCAAATAAATTTTTTGTTTTTTAAAGTTACATATTGAATCACTCACATTACATTTCTCTCATCTACATAAGTCTCAACTCTCAACTACAAATTTAATTTTTTTTTTTGTAATTTCATTGAAATGAAAATAAGAAATGTAATTAGGAGTAAATTAACAGGATTAGGTCCACCCTAAGCGAATCTTGCACGTGCACGTCCCAAGAAAAGCGAGTGAATGAGTGACGTTAAGTTCAACTTAAAGGGGTGAAAGATCGTTAAAGAAAGAATGCACATTTGAATTTTCT